CTCTATAGTATTTTGCCAAAATCCACCAAATTCTAGGATCTGTCAGAAAACCAGAATATTTAGTTTCAAGTCAGAGATGTAACATGACTTTAATCCAAAGACAGACCCAATAAACCTTATTTATGGATGAATTTCATTATCTGTGCTGCCAGCCATGAGCATTTTAATAAGAAAGTTCTTGAATGCAAGGATCTCTTTAGCATCACCATTTCCATTTGTTTTCCATTCTATTTTCACCAGACTGGTGAGACATTTCACTTTCAGTGTGACTCAGAATGCCAAGTTCAGAAAAAAAATATCTCCATAGTTACACACCTCTCTCTTGCAATGAAGTGCCAGGTCTCCAGTGCCCAGCTTTCAAACTGTCAGTGCTGTAACACAGCAAAAATGTTGTGCCCCAATCACCATGATAGACTCTTTCCCAGTTGTCAGCCAACACCTAAAACTTACAGCAACATTTTCCTCTCTGCAAAGACAGCTGAAAGACCCCATGGAAATTATCTAAAAATCCAGCTGGAAATATAAAAGAAAATTTTGTGTAGAGATGCATCCAGTCTGTAATACCGAAATGAAGGATTCAGCCTGAATTGGTCAAAACCAGAGAAATTCCAGAGGGTATATATTGGGAAATCGGAGATGTACGGACCATATAAATACGCAAAAATAGAATTTATTCATACAATCTCTCAGTATAAAATGTAACACTCACATTATTTCAAGTCTAACTTTTATGTTTGCAAAACAAACAATTAAAAAAATTAAGAACAAGGTATTAATTAAGAAATAATTACATTATATTCTTTCATTTAACAGAAGTATAGCAGAAGTACAGCAACGTTATGTAGGTGATCTCCACCTTTCTTCAGAAAACATTAGGAGACATCCATAAAGGCAATACCATTAGCCAGAAATGCATGGCCTGAGTTAGAGGTAAGCCCACAAGTGGTTTTTGTTATTTATTTCCCATTTCTAGAAATAAAAAATTACCTTGTGACTGTCTCTCATTCTGACTTCTGCTGTTACATTCTAAAGTCACAATCTCATCTCACTGTTTGCTTTATAAAATCATTAGGTTGCATCTGGGCTTCTCCCACTGACTCATGGACTTACAAATCCTGAAAATCCTACAAAAACATAAATTCGTTCGACACAGACGAGTTCAGGATCTGATTCCTTCTGGGGCCTGTGATAATTTCAGCATCAGTCTGAAGCACCAGCAGCACCAGGTCCAGAGCTCTCCTCCACGCCTCTGTCTTGGCTGCAACGTTATCACAAACCTTTAAATCTGTGACCTGGTCAGGGAAGGGATCACAGCCACCCCTGAGCACTCCACCTCTCCTAAACTCTTCCAAAATATAAGCTGAGGAAGAGCCACAGGCCGCTGCTTTCTGGAGGTGGTGATCCACTAAGGCACCTGCTTCCAGCTCCGAGCTGGCCTTCGCAGTATTACACAGGACCACGGCGAGGTACCGCTTCCAGCCACTTGCCAATGCCTGGAGCACAACGGATTTGTACTCTGCCAGCCAGGGACTGGGAAGCTCTGTCACAACTCTGTCGTTTCCCGGTCGCCCAGGCTGCCCTTCGAGCGCCTGGATGTGACTGAGGCACAAGAGCTCCACGCCACCGCCCCCAGGGAAAACCCTCCCGTCCTTTAGAGCGTGATGGAGTCGATACAGCAAAGTCCAGAACTGGTCTTCGAGGAGCTGCGCCTTGCAAGGCAGGGCAGTGGTGAGCACGGCCGTGAGCAGGGCGATGCCTCCCGCGCTGATCCGCGCCGGCACCAGCTCGCCCAGATCCACCGCACGCCCATCACTGGCCGCCCACAGCTCCGCCCAGGCCCCATTCCCGATACGGGAAGCGTTCAGCTGGCTCAGGTACGTCACTGCCTGGGCACCAGTGGCCGCCCCAAAGGCACACAGCACATCCCGGGACACGCAGCCGATTACCAGTATCCTGCTGGCGATGCACCTTTCCATGAAGTTCTTGCACACGCTTCCTTTGACCAAAACCAGGTTTACTTCAAAGCTCATCAGAATATCCGACATTCTGCTTAGCCACAAGTCTCCCGCCCTGCCTCCCTGTGGGTTGGGATGCTCCAATACGGTCCTTACGTTACGTGGTCTGTTAAAACCTAAGTGTCGGTACCGCTCCGTGAGGTCACCATCCATCAGCAGAATCCGGAGGGGTTTGTCTGCAAGGTGTTTGATGACTGTGGCTTGCTCTGGTGACACTAATGTGACAAAGCCCGGGGAGACAGAGGAATAGCTCTCAGGCAGGCCCAGCACACAGCACGTCACAATCTCTGCGATATTAATCTGGGAAGAGCCGCCGCACTCTGCTCTCTCTTGCTGATAAGCAGCAATGCTTTGTAGCAGTTTCACGCTGCTCTGGTTTCCATGGCTCAGAGCCACTGCCAGGTGTCCTAAACCGCAACATCCACATGGATCTGCTGGTGGTCCTGAAAGGTATCCCTGAAAATTATCCTGCTGACTTGAGAAACAGCTTTTCCCTAGAGTGCTGAAGTGTCTGCTGTGGGTTAGCTTCCGTGTGATACAGCTGGATGCAGTAACACCACTTCCGGACAGCGCAGATGAACTTCTGTCACCCACTGCTTTGACAACAGAAGCTGCTGAACCAAAGCCAGCCAAGGGTGAAACCAGGCATTTGTTAAAATTACAATCATCTCCTTGATGGGAACAAGAATTTACTGGAATTACTTCTGTTGCAGAAATATCTCTCTGAAAACACAGCAAATTCCAAGGATGTGTGAGACTATGTTGTCCAACTTGGCCAGTTCTGCTTTCAAAAGCCTTTGGCCTAACTCTGCTAGAACAAAGCTCTTTCTTTACATCATGTATTGGTATCTGAAGACACTGGACTCTCTCACAGCAAGAGTTCAACCCCTCAGACATCACAGACACTATTGCTTGAACAGGAACATTCTGCTGGAGGCACTCCACAACAGCATTGCTCCATGCCCCTACCAGGAACAACAGGGTGCTCACCCCAGTCTTAAACTCCTTGTTCTGAGCCTGAATGGTTTCATGAAGAAGCTGTCCAACAGCACTTGTCAAATCCAAACTCTCAATCAGCCTAACAGCAGAACAAATCAATCTGCTCTGGTTGGTGCTTTCATCCATGATGAATTTATGTGATTTCATTGGTCCCAGGAATGTTCTCCCAGTGGATGCTAAGGATGAGAGCTGCTGGAGTCCAGTGTGTCTCCTGGCATTCACATCCCTGAAAGCCATGGGCGGTGGGCAGCATCTGTGAACAGATCACAAATTACTGCCCCATCCTCACAGCACACCAGAGCACCAATCACCAAAACATTAATTTAACAGTCTACCCCTGAACACAGCTTTCCTCTGTATAAAGCAGGTCTTCTTCCTGCACACTTATTACAATAAATCAATGGGCAGAGCTGCTGAAATGGGGCACTGTTAAAATGGAATTGTTTCTGGCTGGCTGATAGTAAAGAGCTGTTAATTCCCACGGTTTCTTACACTTCCAGCAGTACAGGCTGTGTGGAACTACTGCCTCCCTCCTGTCCTGATGCCTGGAATTTCAGTTATTTGTCTTACTTAGGGCAGAAGTTCATTAGAGCAGAATGGACAAATTACGTGCAAAACTCAAGAGCTCTGCACAGATCCTTCTTGGTAACAAGTCAGGCCACTGACTTTAACCTTCAAGTCTGGAAAAACATATTTTATTCCAAATTCTCTTTAGTCCAATTAGCATGCATAAGTGAAATAAAAGCAATGCCACTTCTTCATAACTTAGAAATTATCGAGACTTTAAAGTTTTGACCAACCATTCATTCTTAACACACCAAAAAGAAATCTTCTTTCCCTCAAAATCTCTTCTACACCATTTGGTGTGGCAGATTAAAACAAAGCTCCCTTTTTGAATAATGAAGTATACACAACAAGAATTGAGAACCCTGAGTCCTGCACCTCTTATGCTCAGATTCAAATCACAGAATGGTCTCGGTGGGAAGGGACCTTAAAGCTCATCCAGTTCCAACCCCCCTGCCATGGGCAGGGACACCTTCCACCAGACCAGGTTGCTCAGAGCCACGTCCAACCTGGCCTTGGCCACTTCCAGGCTTGGGGAATCCACAACTTCTCTGGGCAACCTGTTCCAGTCCATCACCGCCCTCACAATAAAGACTTTCTTCCTAATATCCAACTTAAATCGGCTGTCAGTTTGAACCCATTCCTCCTTGCCCCGTCACTATAAAATATAATAAATATATATTATAGAATAAACATTATTATCATATACTATTAAATAAATAAATAAATAAATAAATAAATAAATAAATAAATAAAAGTTCTGCCCCTATTTATCTTTCCTACAAATTCCCTTCAGGTACTGAAATTTATTCACACCATTTATTCCAGCTCCCTGAAGGCCCCTTTGCGTAGCTATTCCAAATTTCCAAAACCAAAATAGCGTTTTGCTTTGTTGTTTTGTTTCTGTTTGTTTGTTTTTCCCGTCCCACAGCGAAAGCCCACTTGAATATTACGTCACAGTATTGCTAGGGAGAGGAAGCGCGCCCCGGCCCGCCTGCCCCACACGGCCGGGGGGGAAGCCGCCCGGAGCGGACACACCGGAACTGCACTGGCGGCGGCCTGGCCGCTTCCTGAGGGCCGGAGGGTGCCCGGCGGGTCGGTGCGGGTGTCTCACCGGAGGGGCCGCGCTCCCGGCGCTCCCGGCGCTTCCCTGGACACGGAGTTGCCTGGACACGGCCGCCGCTCCCTCAGACGCCCCGCGGGCGGGCCCGCCCTCGCGCTCCCTCAGCTGTCCCTCACGGGCACGTCGCGTCGCCATTGGCCGGCGCCGCGAGGGGGGCGGGTCCCCGCTCTCGTTCCGCCCGCTCATTGGCCGCCTGGGCGGCGCGTGTCGGTTGCGCGAGGCGGTGCGGAGCTGCCGTCCCGTCCGGTCCGGTCCCGGAGCGGCATTCCCGGCTGGATGGTGAGCGCGCCCTTTCCGCCGCGGGCTCCCTTCCCACCGACACTGCGCCTTGTGCAAACCCCATTCAGGTTCCAGCCCTGCCCAGGCCGTCGCTGCTGCCGGGTTACCTCGCACAGCGCACCTCGGAGAGGCCCCCCAGTCCAACGGGAAAAACACGCCCGGAAAAACACCGGGATTCGCAAAATACGTCGCCTGCTCTCGGCTTGCCTGGTTCTTGGCACAGCTGACAGACCCCCGCAGCGTTGTTGGAATGGCACCGGCCAGGCCCGGAGGTGGAACCCGGAAGGGATTTGCACAACTCGTATGTGAAATAAATGGAATGATGAAGTCTCCGTAGCCAGGAAGAGGCCTCGTGCGTCTGCTTCCCAGAGAAGCGTATAAGGAGTGGAAGTCTGATAGGTGTGTTAATGGCAGAGGGAAGTCAGGGCTGAGCCAGACAAATGGCTTTGCAATCCGACCGGGGAGGGACAAATCACGGTGAAAAACGAAATTTCATTAACAAATACGAGAAAATGGAATCTTCTGAGTGAAAAGACAGATCCCAGCCCTAAAAATGGGAACAATTCAGCAGAGGCAAGAGACTGGTCAGCAGTACCTAGGTAACAAATTCCTTGCTTCGTGCTTGTTTTTTATAAAGCCCTGCCTTTCCTTCCACGAGCCTGTGCAGTCAGGACTGCAGGGTGGAAATCTCTCTGCTGCTGATTTAAAAACAAAACTATACTTGAGGAAGGCGTTTTTCCTGCTTTATAGGAGGGGAGGAACACTCTATGCTGCACTGCCTTACACCGGAGGCAGGAAAGGTCTCGGGAGTGTCCTGGATAATGATGCACCAGCTCAGCACAAGCAGATTATTCTATATATATAAGTTCTCCTTGTGGGACAGACTGTGTGTTGGTCTCACTGCTCCCACAGGATGTTGCTGCCTGGCTCCACATCTACTCGATGGACAGGCAGCCTGGAGCCACACAGCTCCCTTTAAACTTTTTTCCCCACAGGAGTGGCTGATTTTGAGTCTCGTTTACAGCCAAGACCCTAACAGACCACCCTCTTTAGCTGTGAGGATGTTGTACTCATATTTTTCAGGTAAACCTGCAGGGAAGGGAACTGGCAGGAGGTGCACAGGGTCGTGGTCACCCCAGTGGAGTGCTCATTTTCAGGTTGCCCACCTGTTTTTCTGGCATTATTCCTTTAATTGATAGTCTTTTAGTTTAAAACAGAAAACAGGAAGCCCAAATCTGCATTCCCCAGGAACAAAATATCTTTTTTTCTTTCTACAGTAACTTAAAGGAAGCTGAGATAGAGACTCAATGTCTACCACTTGCAGCAAGGAATGTCTCTCGCCTCTGCTACAGCGTTAATGTTATTTATGCCATTTATTATTTAATGTTATTTTGTCATTTATAATTTAGTGTATTTGAAATTCTCACTGGAATGTGCTGTTTCTTATTGTCTTTCCCTCCACTTTCTGAAGGCATCCAACTATAGAAAACCTGGCTTAGGTACAGCCCAGCGGAAGAAAAGTGGCTTGAAACCTGAACTTACAGAAGAGCAAAAGCAGGAGATCAGAGAAGCTTTTGATTTGTTTGACACTGATGGATCTGGAAGCATCGACATAAAAGAGCTGAAGGTTTTCAAACATTTTTTTTCATTTTTCCTCTGAAATGAAAATATCTTTGATCTCAAAATTGGAGCTGCTTTTTCTGTTTGTCCAATCCTACTTTAAAACAGTTTTGGAGTACAGAGAAGAATAATGGCTTGTTGTCGTGACTGAATTTGGGGTGCACTCTGCATGTAATGATTCACAGCAGACAGGCTTCTGTGCTGTGTGGCTGTTTAAATCTCACAGCTTTGAATAGCTGAGCATTAGAGAAACTAAAAAGTTTCAGGTTTCATGATTAAGGTGCTTGTTCTTGGGAAGTAGACTTTTGTTTTCTGGGATGAGTATCAGAATATCAAATATTTTCTTCATCCGAGAACTAAACACAGATTTTGCATGCATTCAGGAAAGTTGTAACCATATTTGCATATATGTAATCAAAAAATGACCTGGTTTTTAATTTAGAAAAGAACAAAACAGAGATCTGAGCTGTGTTTCAGTAATAATTCAGGCAGTGTGTGTGCACAAGGGGGAAGATGATTCCCAGTTGTCTCCCTGTGATTTAATGTGTTTGATTTTTTTTTTTTTT